CTCTGTCAGTTTCCTATACCATTCGGTGCTTAGTTGAGTTCTTTATCTCTTCATTTGATGCTTAGGATTCCAGGATTGACGTTTGTCTCTGTTTTACTTAGTTTTTCAGGTCTTTGCTGTGGAGGGACAGCGTGGTGCTTCTGTTTATAGCGCCATGTTCCCAGAATTCCTCTCTGATCCATTTTTGCAGATCAGGCAACGAAGGATGAATTTGGAGTTAGAGGCAATAAATTAATAACTGGCACACTGTGTTTAATCCATTGCATTTATTTTATTACTATATATTTACACTTATTTCTACCGTATTATTTTTTGTTTTTTATTTCGTTTCTTCTGTTGGATTGCTAAAGTTACTTTATTCTCTTTTTATTCCTCTACTAGTTGAGAAGTTATCAATTCCACTTATATTCTTCTAATGAGCACCCTTTAATTTTTTTTTCCTAACCTACTTAGATAACTTTGTGTTGATTCTAAAATTATTATGTCTGCCTTCCTTGTAAATAAGAAAAGAATTTTACTGTAATTCCATAAGCCTCTGAATTTCTTTTTCCATCTCCTATGCTGTTATCTTCTAGAAGTTTATTTTTAAACTCAAAACACTAGTTTTTTCAGCCACCTACATTAATTATCTTGTTTATGTCTTTCCTCACTGCTACTTTCATCATCTCATTTCTTCCTTCAATTTCATCTTTTTTCTTGCTGAAGTATATCTTTTGGTAGTTCTTTCAGCAAGGGCATGCATTTAAAACTCTTAGTTTCTAAGAATGACTTTATTTCTCCCTAATTCTTGAAATGCAGTTGAGCCATCGATAGAGTGCTCTGGTAATAGTTATTTTCTCCGCATTTTAAAGCAAATACTCCGTTATTTGCTGCTAGCTATTGTTACTCATGAGGCCTATCAGTGATGTAATTCTTATGTAAGGAATCTTTTTTCTTTCTAATAACTTTTAGGATTTTATCTTTATGCTTGATATTGTGTAGTTTTATTATGATGTGTGCATGTGTAGATTTATATTTATTCATATGACTTAAGCTCTCAATGTGTACTTTTTACTTGAGATTTCACATCTTTTTTCAAATCTCAACAACAAAAGAGTTTCTTTTCAAGTATTGTTTTTCTTCCATTGCCTCTCTTCACTAATTTCTGGAACTCCTTTTAGTACATGATGGAACTCAAGTTTTTTTTCTCTTTGATATTTTTATCTCTGCATTATTTCCTGCTAGGAACCCTGGTGGCACGTTGGTTAAGCACTCAGCTGCTAACTGGAAGGTCTGTTTCGAACCCACCAGCCAATCCACGGGAAAAAGATGTGGCAATTTACTTCTGTAAATATTACAGCCTTGGAAACCCTACGAGGCAGTTCTGCTCTGTCCTGTAGGGTTGATATGAGTCACAATGGACTTGACAGCAGTGAGGTTTTTTTTTATTATGATTGTTTTGTTTATTCCCTGCTAAGTTCTGGACGAATTCCTCAGCAGTGCTTGATTTTTATTCCCAAAACTATGTATTTTATTTCCAGGATTCAGAATTTCATCGTTTTCTTACTCTTTTGTTCTAAACTTCATAGCTACCAGTTTCGATTTCTTTACTTTGAGTTTTTTTGTTTTGTTTTTTGTTTTTAATAGATGCTATTTTTCTTTTTCTGGCATGTTCTACATACTAATTTCAAAGTCCTTTTCTTATTGCTCTATCATCTCTATTTTCCCGAGAGAAAATTTTCTCATTCTCTGCTATTTTTAATACTTTGAAATTTTAATTTGCAGAGTCATCGTGAATGGGAACCTATTGTGTTTTTTGTTTTGTTTTTTCTTTCTCCATTTCCCTCCTCCGTAACAGTTTGGCAGTTTGCTCCCCAGCCCCAATTCAAAACCAGGTGTTATGTTAGTAGTTCATGCCTCTCATCCTGCCAAGAATTTTGCAGTCTCCTGTCCGTAGCCACCTTGGCTTGGCCTTATTCTTGTCTTTGGAGTTCTGTCTGCTCTTTCTTGTGACCCTGGAAAATAGACCACACAGTAGTCACAGTATTTTTAAGCATTTTTGTTGGTGGCGGAGGACCCTATCCCAGTCCCATGTTTCAAGTGGAAAGACTGATTTCAGTCCCCTGCCTTTTATGGGCGTTTTCTGTTCCTGTTCCCATACTGGGATTTAATTTCCAACTGACCCAGATTGTTTCTGATCCTGTAGCACATGGGGATTTTGACTTCAGCTATCACTCCCCATTATATGGTTTACATCCATAAAAATATTTTTCTTATTTTTATGTGATTAGATCTTTTGAAATGCTTTTAAAATTGATTTTAATCAGTCACTGCTGAGTATTTGCAGTTGGGATGAGGGAGAAAGGAATTTCTGCATGAACTTACTCCACTATCCTGACCAGAAGTACTTAAATTTTTATTTTAGAGACATAACTCCAGTGTCATGGAGGTTTACTGAAAGAGAAGAAAGACACATTAGAGACTAGTCAGGGTTACTTCAGTAGCATTGGAGTAGAAGAGGGATGGGTCTGACAGACTGGGTTACTGGCACTGCTCTTTATCATGGTAAAGGAATATGAAAAACCAGACCCATTGTGGTCAAGTAGATTCTGACTCATAGCAACCCTGTAAGACAGAGAAGAACTGCCCCGTAGGGTTTCCAAGGCTGTAATCTTTACAGAAGCAGATTACCATATCTTTCTCCCATGGAGCAGCTGGTGGGTTCAAACCACGGATCTTTTGGTTACCCTCAAGCACTAACCACTGCACCACCAGGGCTCTTTAAAGGAATATACAAGGAGGAGCCAATTGGACAGCAAGGTAAAAGTGGGATAAAATAATATATCAAGTGCCAGATGTGGTGAAATTGAGATTTTTAGTGACAGCCAGTTGAAGATAGTAAACACTTGGGGATACAAGTCCAGAAAGAAAGAGAGGCTATATCTGTTTCATAGCATCACTGGTGTATATGTAGTTGTTGAAATTGTAGATACAGGTTAAATTACTCTGGGAGAGTAAATAGCAAGCAAGAAAAAAGGAGCCCGATTATAGGGAGACCATCATCATTTATAGTGGTGCAAATGGTTAACACGCTTGGCTACGAACAGAAAGGTTGAAGGTTGGAGTCCACCCATAGGGCCTCAGAAGAACGGCCTGGCTGTCTACTTCTGAAGAGTTAGCCATTGAGAAACCTATGGAGCACAGTTCTACTTTGACACACATGAGGTCACCAGGAGTCGGAATCAACTCAACGGCAACTAACAACAACAAGCCTAATTTTTACTTTTTATTAGCATTTTATAAGATTTTGTCATTTTATTTTATTTTTTCATATAACTTGAATATCATTTGTTCGTTCTTAAGGTTATGGTGAGCCATATTCAAAATTCAGTATTTGGAAGTAATAGTAATGATTCAGTGGCCAACCAAGATGGTATAAAAGGAAAGCACTAGCAATATTTTATAATTTTTCTTTATTTTATTCTTAATTCTTCTTCAGAACAGATTTTTTTTAATCCATGAACCTTGCAGAGACTTCAAAGACTCTCTCTGCTGGTCAGGAGGTGCTTTAAGAGGATCTCATATTACCTGGTAAATTATACAACCATTAATAAATGCTGTGAAGTTTTATAGTTAATTAAGTAGTATCATTTTGTAATGGATTATCTGGATTTATTAATTTATTTTTACAAATTGGCACAATTTGGCACTGTGACAGTAATGCACTTAGTGTTCTAAAATTGGTAATGCATCTTCTTAAACACTGTTTCCAAGGGCAGGGATAACCATAGACATAGGTGACAGCCCACTTGCTATGTGGGTAAGGAGCCTCATGATTTCTGCTTAACTAAAAATAGCACCCCCACTGCTTGCTGGCTTATCTTATTAACCTAGGCTGAAGTTTTGCTATTAGTGTTTCTTAACAATAACATATCTAGTTCCACTTGTTTCAGATAAGAGATTATAGGCCTGTATTTTAAATAACTTGAGCGAGATCACATAGCTATTAAGTAGTGGAGGTGGGATTCAAACCAAATCAGTCTGGCTTTTTATACTGGGTTCTTAATAAATCTGTATACTGCCTATAAAAACCCATCGCTGTTGAGTTGATCCCAACTCATAGTGATAGGATAGAGTAGACCTGCCCCCACAGGGTTTCCAAGGCTATAAACCTTTATGGAAGTAGACTGCCACATCTTTCTCCCACAGAGTAGCTAGTGGGTTCATACTGCCGACCTTTTGGTTGGCAGCCAAGCACTTAACTACTGCGCTACCGGGCTCCTTGTATTGCCTTTAGCTAGGTTAATTAGCTAGAGGAGAAAGTAGGAGTGTTTCTCCTGCCTTCTAGCTCCTCTGTATCTCTCTCTTCTCTCGGGGCTTCTAGGATCTTCCTTCGTTTTCTTCCGCTTCATACATCTGTTAAAATACAGACAGATAGAATGTAAATAATCAGCAAAATTTTTGTGGAAATTTCCCTAACAAAAACGAAGATAAACTACAACAGTGTTACCCCTGAGAAAGTGAATTTAAAGAGGGTTTTTCTTTTTCTTTTTTTTTTAAACTTTGAAATATAAAAACCCAATCCCTGGGCTTATAGATAAAAACAGCCACTTCTTTACAGGAAAAGGTAGTTAGAGAGAAAAAGACAAACAGCCAGGAAAAAGTAATAATTTGAGGAAAGAAACTTTAAAAGGATAAAAGATAGAATGGAACATAGATTAGCATCTATTCTGTATCCTTTGACAGTTAAATATTTAAAAGTATGACCATTCATGAAGATTTTATGAAATGTTAAAGTGAAGTTCCAAAAGAGAGCATTAAGAGCTGAGGACATTATTTTAACATGCTTTGGCATTTTCTTTAGGTTTAATGCTTAAGCATATGGCTCAGTACACCTTAGTATGAAAATCCATTTGTTTGTTTTTTATGCCTTTTAACATACTGTGTATAGCCAGACCCATGGAATCACATTTATTGGTGACATTGCATATTAAATTAATTCTGTTGTATTACAATTATAGATTTATCTAAGTGGATTTCTTCCAAAGCATGATGCAGACCACTCTCTCACAAGTCTTTCAACTCCGGAAAGGAGTTTCATCTTTATAAACAATCGACCAATACATCAAAGAGACATATTAAAGGTAATCTCTTATAGAAAAAATATATCACTTGAATCAGAAGTAAAAACCAGCTCTGTCATTTGTCAAATTGTTAAAAGAGCTACTTCTAAGAATCTGCTCTAAAATAAAGAAAAGGAGATAGGATAACATTTATTAAGCATTGTGCCAGGAACTTTTCATATGATTTCTCATTTACTCTTTATTGTGTATTATTATACCATGTATAGTGAGGAAACTAAGATATTAAGTGACTTTCTTAGGTTACACAGCCAAGAAGTTAGCAGAGTTTGGATTTGAACCCTATGCCTTTAAAGCATCCACAAGACTCTTATCTTTTAACCATGAAGCCACTTGTACTGGATATTTGTACTTAAGAATACTCATGCTTCAGTAGGTTCAAGGCCTCTAAATGAGTATTACTACTTAGACAACTGCTTTTCCTAATACGTATTTACCTGCACTCAGTTTCTCAATTGAATCTGCTCCTTGTGGTATTTAAGTTTGGCAATACTATCTTTATTTACATGGTATTTTTGTCTTTTATTCATTATGTATGTTTCTAGTTAATCCGGCATTATTACAATGTGAAGTTCCTAAAGGAAACTACTCGTTTGTATCCCATTTTCCTTCTAAAAATTGATGTGCCTACAGCTGATGTAGATGTAAATTTAACACCAGATAAAAGTCAAGTATTACTACAGAATAAGGTACCTTTTTTCAGACAATTTTTTATATTAATTTGTGCTATTTACAAACTTATACAATTCTAACTATTTTCATAAGAAAAAAGACTTGTTTTATTTTTCTTTTTTATCCTTGTTTTAAATCTTGTGGTCTATTTATAATTTTCATAATTTCCCCTAACATTTGTTAATTTGTATTTTTAGGAATCTGTTTTAATTGCTCTTGAAAATCTGATGACGGCTTGTTATGGACCACTACCTAGTACAAATTCTTGTGACAATAATAAAACAGATGTTTCCTCAGCTGACAGGGTTGTTAATAGAACAGCACAAACAGATGCGGTTTTTAATGAAATGGAATCATCTGCAGATAATTATCCAAATGTTGATACTTCAGCCATTCTTTCCCAAAATGATGTACAGAATGATGAATCTGGAAAAAACACTAATAATTGTTTAAATCATCAGTTATATGTTGGTGATCATTGTGATGGTCATTTTAGCAGTGAAAATTCTAGTATTGATAAGGACGCTGGAAATACATTTCAGGAGATCCCAATTAGTAGTTTATCGTGTGAAGACACCCAAAGCAAATATCGTGAAACTTGTTTTGTAGGTTCTAGTAAGCATATCGAATCAGAAAATGGCAATAAAGGCCATATAAATGAGAGTGAGGAAAATGAAGAAGCACCAGTCCTTGAGACATCTTTGGAAATTTGTGCAGATGACTGGAGTAAGGGAAATGTACTTAAAAATTCTGTAGGAAAGAACATTGAACCTGTGAAAATTTTAGTGCCACAGGAGAGTATAGCATGTAATAATAATCCAAGCCCTGAACCAAAGATTCTCAGTGAAGGTCCCTCTAACAAAAAGTCAAATGTAGTTGATAACAAATCTGGAAAGCTTACAGCTTATGATTTAATTAGCAATCGAGTAATCAAGAAACCCATGGCAGCAAGTGCTCTTTTTATTCAAGATTATCGTGCTCAGTTTCTCGCAGAAAATTCTAAGGCTAATTTAAAGGATGCAACAGTACAAATTGAAGAACTGTGGAAGACATTGAGTGAAGAGGAAAAACTGAAGTAAGTTTCCAGAGCTTGCATGTGACTTAAAGGCTCAGCTATTTCCATTCTATATGACTCACTAGGTTTAAAAAAAAAAAATTAAAACTTATTTAATGGAAAATGCCTTTTGGCTTGGATAGAGTACCTTTTTTTGGTATCACTTTTTTTGTTGTTAATTTTGAATTTTTTTTTTTTTTTTGGTATAAGCCTTAACCGCTTTCTAATTTGTGAAGTTTGTTGTTAAAGGTTTACCATTTTCTCAGTTTAAAACCACCATTTGCTTCTATTTCTTTTTTATTTTATGTTAAAGAACTTTTCTATGGCAGGACTTTTTTTTTTTTTTTTTTTTTTAAGTTTTTGCCTTAGGACAATTAGAACGAAAGTGTTTTAAAGAAATTTCGTGACTATTCTCTTCCTTAAATTGGTCCAGAAAACACAAAGCACAACACTAAAATTGTACCATTGTTGCAGATTCAATTTAGTGGTGTTAATATTGACCCTAATCAGAGCTTCTTCTAAAATTTGATTATATACTGGCAACTTTTAAACTATATAGGAATTTTTTTGGTAGGTAAATTATGTGGTTTGATCTACATTTGATTAAAATAACTATAAAATTGCTTGTCACATATAGATCAGGTGATCTGAATAAATGTTCCAAATATAATATGATAGGTGTTTCTGATTGATTTAGGGCACTTAATACAAACACAAAATACTATGTTTTGAGTTTCTGGTTCACCAGAAAACGAAAGAATGGAGCCATGCCTGCAACATGTATTGTTATTCAAGACATCTCAATAGTATGTCACACATCTAGAGAAAATTTTAAATATAATCCATCACTTGACCAGTTTTTAAAAATTTTTTCATTAGCTAATTTAGTCTTATGACACTGTCAACTTAATATAATAAAAAGACTACTGTGAATGTCAATAGAGAGAGTGTCCATAAATTAACTTTTCTAAAAACCTTAGCCTTCTTTTTGGTGGTAGGAGGATGATGGTTGTGGTTTGTTCTTTTTCAAACATACAAAAAAGTAGATAAAACAGTACAATGAACCCATCACCCATTTTCACCAAACATCATCTCATGATCAGTCCTGCTTTATCTGTATTCCAACTCACTTCCCCTCCTCCTTTATTATTCTGAAGCAAATCCTAGGCATAATATCATCTATTTTATAAATATTTTGATATATCTCTTTAAAAGATAGACATTCATACTTTAAACATAACCATAATACCATTGTCATAACTTAAAAATCACACTAAGCCCTTAATATCATCAAATATCCACTGTTCACATCTCTAGTTGTTTCATAAATGTTACGTTTTTTATTTGTTTATTTGAATCAGGACCTAGATAGATCCACTTGTTGTTTTGGCTGCTATGTCTCTTAAGCCTGTTTTAATCTTTATTTTTCCTTTTTTGTTTTTCTTTGCAATTTATTTATGGAAGAAACTAAATCTTTTGTCCTGTAGAGTTTCCACATTCTGGATTTTCCTTATGTCCAGTGCCATTTAACATGTTGCTCTTTCATTTCCTGTAAACTGGTAGTTGGAGCTACAGACTTGATCAGATTCAGATTTGAATTCTTTTTATTGTACTTATTTAATTATTTATTTTGGCAAGAAGTGTTCATAGGTGGTGTTTTTTTCCCATCACAAGGCACATCTTTTTTTTTTTTTTTTTTTTTGTACTTTAGATGAAGGTTTACAGAACAAATAGTTTCTCATTAAACAGTCAGTACACATATTGTTTTATGACCTTGGTTAATGACTCCACGATGTGTCAACACTCTCCCTTCTTGACCTTACTTGACCTTTTTTTTTTTTGTGAAAATATACATAGCCAAAGATACACCATTTCAAAAATTTCTACATGTATAATTCAGTGACATTGATTACATTCTTCCAGTTGTGCTGCTATTCTCACTATCCTTTTCCAAATTATTCCATCACCATTATCTTCAACTCACTGCCCCCTAGGCTTCCCATCAAAACTTTTGAGTTGCTATTGTCAGTTTGATCTCACATAGATAATTCTTTCATTTTCTTTTTTGTACTGTAGATGAAGGTTTACAGAACAAATACTTTCTCATTTAACAGTACACATATTGCCCTATGACAATGGTTAACAACCCCACAACATGTCAACACTGTCCCTTCTAAATCTTCGGTTCCCTATCACCAGCTTTCCTGTCTGTTCCTGCATTCTAGTCCTTGTCCCTGGACTGCTGTGCCTCATTAGTCCCTTTTTGTTTTATGGGGCTGTCCAATCCCCGGCTGAATGGTGAGCCTCGGGAGTGACTTCATTACTGAGCCAAAAGGATGTCCAGGGGCCATACTCTCGGGGTTTCTCCAGTCTGTCAGGCCAGTAAATCTGGTCTTTTTTTTATGAGTTAGAATTTTGTTCTACATCCTTCTCCAGCTCTGTCCAGGACCCTCTGTTGTGATCCCGGTCAGAGCAATCAGTGGTGGTAGCCGGGCACCATCTAGCTGTACTGGACTGAGTCTGTTGGAGGCCATGGTAGCTGTGATGCATTAGTCCTTTGGACTAATCTTTTCCTTGTATCCTGTTCTCTTCATTCTCCATTGCTCGCAAAGGGGTGAGACCAGTAGAGTATCTTAGATGGCTGCTCACAGGCTTTTAAGACCCCAGACACTACTCACCAAGGTAGAATATAGAACATTGTCTTTATAAACTGTGTTATGCCAGTTGAGCTAGATGTTCCCTGAGACCACAGTTCCCACAGCCCTCCACCCAGCAATTCAGCCCTTCAGGGAGTTTGGATGTGTTTATGGAGCTTCCATGAGCTTTCCACAAGGCACATGTTGTCTGGTTATGTCTCTTTCTGTCTCTGGCCATTGATGATCAATGCCTACATTCATTAATTCATTCACGGTCGCAAAATGGTTTATCATTTTATCATTCTTTTTTTTATTTGTTTGCTGAAGTATTTCTATAAAGAGAATCTTCCCTATATCTAATATGTAGTTACCTGGTGGTGAGTTTCCTTTAGAAAAGGCAGGTTAAATGCTTGATTCTTTTCCTTTTTTTTTTTTTTAAATATAATTATTTGACTTGGCTCACTAGTACCTTCTAAAAGTGGACGATTGGTTTGTTTCTCTTTTTTTAGAATCATTATAAATTTATGGATTTAAATATATTTGATGTTTCAGTCTATTTCAGTTATTATCCTTATAGATACTCAAATTATCCCATCTTTGGCCAGTGGGAGCCTTTTCAAGTTGGTTCCTGAATCCTTCTGATACAACCTTAGCAGACTTTGATAGCTTCCTTGCTCCTTGCTCTGAAAAGATCTTCCCTGCTCATCTTGTACAATTCTTAACACCATACCTAGATCAGCCATTCTTCCAAGAAATCTTGTTCCTTTTAGTGGAAAGTGGTATTTGGGGAACACAGTCTGAGAGCTAGGAGTATTTATTTCTGCCGAGATAGTCATTGTTTCTTGACTTTTTCATGGACAGAACTAGAAATTTTAAAAAATATGTATCATTAGTTCATACTGATACTTCAGATTTAGAACTGTAGAGTTTTGTGTTTATCCTCTTTGGTCTTATATTTATAGCTCTTTTCTCTTATGCTGAGAATCCCAGTTTTCAGTGACTATTAGAAAAGCATACAATGACTCATTTTTTTAATCCATAATATATTGTCTCGGAATAACATTAACAGCACTACCACCAACACTATCATTATTTAAAGCAGTTTAGGGTTTTTTGTTGTTGCTGTTTCTTTTGTTTTCCTAATTCTTTTTTGTTCCTCTAGGGATCTATAATCAAATTACAGTGTTTTAAAGCTACTTGCTTTGTGATTATGCTATCAACTGATACACATTTTGGTTCTCTTAAACTTAAAAAAAATTTATTTTTTTCTATAATCATAAACAGAAATAGCCATCTCACATTCTTTGTGGGAAACAAGCAATTGCATATATGGCATGAACAGAAATGAAATGAGAACCAATCTGTGTGACCTTGGACAAATCATTTGATTTCTTAGAATCTTACTCAAAGTTCTCGTGCTAGATGCTGTAATGGTTGCTGCACAAGACAGGTTCCCAGTCTTCGTGGAGTTTCCTATCTAGTGGAGAGCACAGGATAGTATAGTGAGCATTTGGTGGGAGTGAGAAATCAGAAGTGCTGTTAGCCAGATAGACTCAAGGTGTGTGAATGTGTAAAGGAGGTCGTGGGTGAGTGGGTTGTTGGGTGAATGGTGATAGAGATGGAGCCTGATAGTGTGAGGAAAACTGTAGTGTTTTTGCAACCTAAAAGAAGGTTAATGTAAGTGGATTAGTGAGAAGTGAAGCTACAGAGGTCAACAGGGGTAAGATCCTGTGGCACCATGTAAAACATGTTAAGGAGGATAATTTGGGGATAATGGAGTGTTTTTTCTGGATAAGATTAAAATTTATTTGCAATGAACTAGTCATACTAGTGACACTATAATTGTTTTGAAAAGATGAGAACATAAACTGCTAAAATTATTTAATACTGATTGCTTAAATAATGTTGTTGTGGGTTGAATTGTGTCCCCCCAAAAAGATATATTAAAGTCTTAACCCCCAGTACCTGTGAATGTGAACGTATTTGGAAATAGAGTCTTTGCAGATACAATCATGTTAAGAGGAGATCATACTGGTTTAGGGCAGGCCCTAAACCCAATTCCTAGTGTCCGGGAGAATGTCATGTGACACGGAGGTAGAGATGGAGTGATGCATCTACAAGCCAAGAAATGACAAGGATTTCTGGCAGCTACCAGAAGCTGGCAAACAGGCAGGTAACAGACTCTCCCTTAGAGCCTTCAGAAGGAATCAAAACTTCCCACACCTTGATTTCAGACTTTTGGCCTCCAGAACTATGGGAATAAATTTCTGTTGTTTTAAGCTACCCACTTTCTGGTTATTTGTTACAGCAGCCCTAGGAAATTAATACAATAGCTTATACCGGAAGTGGACTGTAAGAGGAGAATCCTGAGGCTGTATTTGTAAG